ATAGACAAGTGTCACACCCAAACTCGCTACAGAAAGCCAATCAGTTAATTACAAAATGGGCTCAGGTTTCCAGCTTTGGAATGTTACCAGCTAGCACTAGGGAGAAATTGCAGGAGACGTCCACAGACAGAAATTCTCTCAAATTTCATGTTGAGCAAGCAACATGATGAATGTGATGTTCCATATACAGATTATGAATTGGATGCAGCCCTCTCCAGGGGCAGTAGCACTGCTCCTGGTGAGGACGGTATCACCTATGATATTCTTAGACTCCTACATCGTGTACCTGGTAACCCATTATTAGAACTGTTTAATGCCAGTTATGTCACTGGGCAGTTGCCAGTATCATGGACCACCAGTCTTACGGTACCTGTACCAAAGCCTGGCCAACCTGATGCTTTCCGTCCCATCTCACTGACCAGTTGCATGTGCAAAACCTTTGAGAGAATGGTGCTTAATAGATTATTGTATAGAGTTAAAGAGCACATGTCACCTGATATCAATGGTTTCACACATTGTAAAAGTGTACACAACTGTATCAACCTTTCTTACTGTTCATGGAGATAAAAGGCACAAGTACACATTTCTTGATTTAAAAAATGCCTTTGATATTGCTAATAGGGAAGTGATTATGTATGAATTAGCGAGAATGGATATAGGGATATTTATTACAATGGATACGAGGCTATCTTACCAACCGGAAGTCCTCTGCACTGTTCCAAGGCTACAAGAGTGAAACTAAAGTAATGCAACTAGGCACCCCACAAGGATGAGTACTTAGTCCTTCCTTGTTTAATGTTCTAATTAATGCTTTACTAAAATCAATCCCAACTAGTCCGGCAAACATCACTATCAGCTATGCAGATGACATCCTTGTGCATACTAAAACCCACCGCGAAATGCAAACAGCCTTAAATTGTATACATACAGCTTGTGAGAGCCTTGGTCTTGTAATCAACGCTGCTAAAACTAAGGTATTTAACAGACAAATTGGCAACCGCAGAAGTGGACTACGAAAACTTAAGATAGATAACATACCAAAGGACTATGTCTCTTTCAAATACCTTGGTGTGTCTGTCCCTTGAACCGCAACTGCAGTCAATTAGTTACATCAACAATGTAGACACAGACTCAAGGCTCTCAGAACTGTAGTGGGGTACAGCCCGAAATATGGTGTTAATATTAGAATAGCAAGAATGATGTATTTAGCGTATATAAGGTCTCTGATAGACTCATGCACCAGCTTTGGTCCTGCAAAATGGCAAAAGTATTGATAGACTGGAAAAAATGCAAAATGAAGCACTCAGAATTATACTTGGCTGTCCTATAACTACCAAAGTTCTCAATATGCGCAAAGTCACAGTCTCTGGTGTAGTGGTGACACACTCGCCTGGCGTTCCGCGAGCGCTATGTCATGGGTTCGTATCCTGGCCGGGGAGGATTTACTGGGCGCAATTCCTTAACTGTAGCTTCTGTTTAACGCAACAGTAAAATGTGTACTTAGATGAAAAAACGATTCTTCGCGGCAGGGGATCGTATTCCAGGGACCTGCCCGAAACGCTACGCGTACTAGTGGCTGTACAAGAATGTAACAACTCTTGTATATAGCTAAAAATAAATAAATAAATAAATATACTTAGCATTAGAGATAGAATATTTGAAATTAATCTTATGATGGGACTAAAGCTTCTGCGTGATAACAAAAACCATTGTGTCAGTTGCACTGTTAGAACACATACGAAATGGAACTAGCGAGTCTAAATGGATTCAAAGAACAGCCACTCATTAAAATGATGGGACTGCACGATGTATATACAGATGAAAGAGTACAGCACTTCCTTCCACCCTGGCAGATAGTACCTTTTGACATCCTGACCCCTGCATACCCCACTAAGAAACTAATCACAAACAACCCTCATGCTCAGCTTGCTGCTAAATTAAGCACCATAGAACACATTCACAATATACAAGCTGAAAACAACATTGCACAGACCATATACACTGACTGATTACTCAATACAGCTACAGGGAGGGCAGGAAGTGCTGTTATTGCTCATCAGCCCGATGGCAGCACAATTCAAAAATATCCGAATTAGTAACTGAGCGTCCACAATGCAAGCCGAGTTGGTAGCGATACTGGAAGCACTCGAAATTATTGACAACATTGAAGCAGACAGCTTAATTATTTCTGACCCTTTCCTCACTACGAGCAATAAACAGTTTGCAATCATATAATAACGTGCTTGTCTTGGAAGCTAGATGTAGATATACAAGAATACTTAGCAAGAGGGTAAATATAAAAATGTTGTGGATTCCTTCTCACATTGGCATGCAGGAACATGACAAAGTTGACGCCCTTGCTAAGGCTGCAGTAAATAAAGACAATATTGAACGGAATCTTGAGTTATCAAATAGGTCCCTTAAAAGTGTCATTAGACGAGAACTCCTGGATGAATTTGAAGAAAGTAGAACTGTGCAAACTGGAACTAGCAGGTCCATTGTTCATCACAATGAAATGTGTGAAGTAAAACATGTGTATGGGGCAAGTAACAAAGTCAGTAGACTAACAGATGTTGTCACAGCTCGTATAAGACTTGGCTACAGTATCTCTGGCAGTTCGGCTTGTATAGGGATCTAGATGAAGTAAAGTGTAAAGTGTGTGGACAAAGACAGGGACACACTCGAGCACTATCTTTGATTGTAGTAAAATTGAGCCATTTAGGAGAAATCTAACCTCACTGTATGATATGGCAACCTCTTATTACCATGGATAAATTATCTGAAATCCTTGCACTGTATCCACATTTCGCTTGACAGCAGATGAACGACACGAGATTCAGAAACAAGTAGTGTATTGTGAGGACTAATAATAAACAGCAGCTCCCCTATGACTAATTGGTCAAACTATTATGTATTAGCGATAAGACCTACCATTAATGTATGATGACTAACTGTAAATATGTAGCTCTTGTAATAGCACTTTAACTAGCTGACATTGTAACTATAAAAGGTGTTAAGGATAGAAGAAATTGTTTATGTAATAATCTAAGACGAGGTCTGATAAAGACCTTTTGTGCCCCCTGTAATGCTTTTGCACTACCACTCACGGGATGAGTATGGGGTGCACAATAAACTAGCCGCCTTCGGCAGCAACAATCAACCGTTACTGCCACTCCTCAGGCAGGCAATCACACTCAACAGAGTTCGTTCGGGGGTGGCTCACAGCTTCTACAAAGCAGACTGGTGAAGAGACCTTGGCTGCCTAGGGTAGACTGATTCAACGTACCTCACAACCGTCCTAGGTTGACTGTGAAAGTAGACACGTCATCAGTACTGGGAACACTACATGGGACCACTAGAAAACATCCCTTACTAGCTTAGACACAAACGTCCACCTCTTCGCTCCATAGAGCGTTCACTGTCTAAGCGCCACCTCGCCAGAGGTCAGCAGTGGCTACTTCGCGAGCCGACTAGGACAGGAATCCAGCGCCTATTGCCGGCATATCCTGTCATCACTAGATGGCGTTGTCCATGGTGTGGGGTTTTTGGGAGCGGACTCACAGATAGCGTGGACTTCACGGCTTCGTGCTTGGGCGAGGAATTTTGGTTCGTAACACACAGCTAATATGGCTACAGCTGCGAGAACTGGTACATGCACAAAGACAAGATTAGCTAAGCTTGAACTCTCGGATGCAAATCTGCTCTACCAAGAGCAGATTTGCACGAAGCAGTTACGCAAGTACTTACGAACGTGTACATCTTTCCTCAATCTTTGACTGCTTCGGTTACATTGATGAACCTTATACGTTGTTAGCGACGGGACCAACCTTGAAAGTATGGACAAACATTAATGCTTCCCATACTTCCCATATTTGTAACTACAGCTGCAGTCTCTGAGCATGGCATTTGTGGCTACTCCTGTAATCCCTTTACCTGCTCCCAAGCCCATTCAGCCACTCCTATAGTTCCTTTAACCTCTCCTTTTGAACTTGGTTCCTGTGGAGTTTTCGAGGGGTGCCACACCTTTGGCCCCTTTGGCTGACGTTACCTAAACTGTGTGCCGCACCAGATGGTCCAGGGGTGACGATGGCTCAAGTACAGTGCATGATACATATTTGAAGACACCAACGAGAAAAAAATAATAAAAGGAGGCAATGTGGTTAAATAGTTTAATTTAGCAAAGAAAATCTGGAGTCAGCCAGTATTGGGCCCATGTGTCTCAAGAACACATATCCTAACGTGTTGGGAGATGAGTGTTAATCTTGGAGAACAGCAGTAGGTGAGCAGCCTGACATAAGAAGGTAAGGAAACTGAGGGGAAAGTGCTAAACCTGTACTTCTATTTAGCACATAATAAGGGTACGAGAACAAGGAGCTGGGATAGGATAATGGGAAGAAATGTTGCTGATTTACCTGAGGGCCACTAACCCTAGTGGCCTCGACTAGGACAGGAAGCTGGCGGCTTGTCGAAGTCGCCAGCTTCCTGTCCTCGCCCCCCCCCCACAGGTGTCACACGATGGTGTGAGAGGTGTCACACGATGGTGTCACACGATGTTGTCACAGGTGTCACACGATGTTGTCACAGGTGTCACACGATGTTGTCACAGGTGTCACACGATGTTGTCACAGGTGTCACACGATGTTGTCACAGGTGTCACATGATGGTGTGAGAGGTGTCACATGATGGTGTCATATGATGGTCACTGACTGCAACAGGCTTCTGCTTGTCGTGTGTTTGCAAGATGCCAAAGTTTGCTATATGCTATTTTTTTAAGACACACACTAAAAACTTTTTGCAACTTAAATACATTGTTTATATTGCAAATTATCATAAATTCATAATTATATCACATTATTATACCCCAAAAACGTGCAAATATGCAACTGTCAAAAAAAAAACATTTCACACATTTTCTTAAATAGTCCCAAAACGTTGCCCAAAATAAGTTTATTTACCAGGATATATATAATGGAGTATTTGAAGATGGGTTAGAATGTATGGGTAGCGGGTGTATAGGGTGTATTATAGAGAGATAGAGGTGGTGTATGGCGGTGTATGGCGCGTGTGAGGTGCGCGCGCAGGCCCGCCATGGGAGCCGCCTGGCGGCCGCGTGGTCTTTCCCCCCAGCTGATGGTCCCGCCACCATGCCTGTGAGTCTTCTCCTCTGTGTTATGTCTCCCCTGGCCCTCATACACCCCTACCGTACCCTGCCCTGCCCGTGCCTCGCTCTACTGCCTCGCCTTGTGCTATATTCGTGGAGGTTTCAGACGCCAAGAGGGAGGAATTAGTGGAAAATTGTGTGGTTCCCGAGGAGTGTTTGTGTTGCGTGGTGGCGGCCATCTTCAGGCCAGGCGGGTTTTGTGTTTACATGTGGCCTGGGGGAGGGATGTGTTGCGTGGTGGGGGTGGGGGGAGGGGCGGTGTGGGGACGGTTTGGTTGGGGGGTTTAAGGTGGGGAGGACGACCCTAAGATGGTGTTTACCGTGTGTTAAGTTATCGTCCTCTGGGGGGTCTCGTCCCTTGCCCTCTGGGGTCTAACTGGTTCTCTGGGGGTATCGCGCCCCTCAGGGTCTGGGGGACATCTGGTCCTCTGGGAGGGTCCCCCTCGACCCCTGGTCTTTTGGGGGTCCCTCCAGAACCCTGGTCTTTGGAGGATCCCCCCAGACCCCGTAGTCTTCGGGGGTCCCCCAGACCCCTCGTTGCATGTAAAATAATTTCTCTGCTGTTATTGTTAAGTGTATCGGGTCAGGTCAAATATTGTATGGTATGTCTATTTCAAATTAGGGTAGTCTCTTGGTGTTAACAATGTACACTTTCTCTTAGTTTTTTTTAGGTTTCCATTACATCTAGGTTGTCTAATTATACCTCCTTTCCAGGTTAGATTAGGCAGTATGGGATCGTATCTTTCACACCAGCTCTTACGAGTTGGTGTGAAAATCTTAATTTTCTCAATCTCATCTCGGGTCAAAATCTCAAGATCTTAAGGTGGTCCTTGAGGTTCTTCGCTTCCAGGCTATGATAGGCGGGTTACCTGGGAATGGTGTCCAAATTGGAGGTTCTCCGTAGGTCTCCTTCAGCCATCCCCATAGCGTTTTCAGTTCTTCCTGTAGGGGTCGTGCTAGGCTTGGGCAGAACAGTGTCGGTCGTATCCATCGGTGTGTTTGGTCCTGTCTCGTGTTGGGTCCGAGGAGCTGGAGTTAGACAGCTGCTATGGGCTGCTACCTGGGTGTGTGTAACAAAAAAGGAGGCCTGGTCGAGGACTGGGCTGCGGGGATGCTAAGCCCTGAAATCACCTCCCAGGGCGAGATGCAGCTCTGCCTATTTGTTTCCGCCTCCACCGGGATCGAACTCAGAACCTCAGGACTGTGAACCCAAAGCACTGTCCACTCAGCTGTCAGGTCCCTATGGTACACAGATTCATGTTGCTAATATCAGATAAATATTATATTTTAACAATTTTGGGATAAAAGGCTGCAAGTTGTCACCAAAATGGTAATTGTTTAATACATTTGGAGTCTATAGTGCATATGCATGCAGAACTATTGCACGTAAATATTAAATAAAAGTAAAATACCGTATGGAGTAAAAGGTATGAATAATAATGAATATAATGCAATTTTCGTGGTAATGTTATAATGTATTGAGGAAAATCAGTAGGAACCATGAGGATGATTCTAACCTATGTGCTGGGTACTCCCAGGCACGCTCCAGACCACTACACCACGACATGGTAAAAGCATTGCAACCTGGGATTCGGCTGCATCCTCTAGGGTTCATGAGCACTGCACTCGGGACCATACACTCTGGTTCATGGTCCAGTAGTTCTACTGCCAACACTTCTTGGCATTGTGTGACACTGATTAGGTTTCAGTGGAAGCCTCGAACCCTAGAGAATGCAGTTGAATACCAGGTTGCAATGCTTTTACCATGTCGTGGTGGTGCAGTCTGGTGGAGCGTGCCTGGGTGTACCCAGCACGTAGGTTTCAATCGTCCTTGTGGTTCCGATTTTCTCGGATATCACGTTGATGTGACTTCTTTGAGTACTGTAATGTATTGCATTGTTCATGTTATTTTTAGTACAGTATATGCATACATGTAGACCCGATCCAAGAGATGGTTCTTGGGTCGGGGGGATAATGTATGCTAGATTAATTGGAATGTTGTGATTTTTACTCAAACACATTTTGGGTAGAGACAGACAATTCCAGACATTGAATATGCATTTAATTTAGTATTTAGTATTCCTGGCTTGGATAATGCCTTTTATAACTAGGTTATTAAGAATTCAAAGTAGAGACTTTGTTTTACCATGTCTAGTTTTTTTTATGTATGATCATGCCTAAAAAAACCGCCACATAACCTTACTTCTAGTACTGTCCAATATAGCATAGAGGATTTTTTCCATTTGGGCCTCGTTAATGGGTCAATAATTAATGAAGGTCCAGCCATATCTAATGGTTTTAACACCTAAGCCCCTCTCACATGCTAATACGTAATTTTGTCACTAACCCTAATACATGTACAATACAGCAGTTTTAAAATTGGAAACAAATTTTTTGTAGTTTAAAATTGTCACCTGGCAAGCTGTACCTTGCCGCAACTCCCACCTCCAGTTGCCTGCCATCTTTTTCCATATTCCACAAAACCCTCCACCCCTTCCCACCATTACTATTACAGCAACCACCCCAACATAATTCAACATGACTGGATCTGTATCTAGAACAGTATTTTTCCATTGTCCAGACTTCATGTGGCTCTATACTGTGTATTGATATAACTGGGGAAATTTTTATAATCATGTATGGCATGATCAAAGTAGAAATATGGTACATGTTTATAATGTATTTGGCTAACTGAACAAGTTTGTATAAATGAAGTGGGTAAAAATCATTATGGGATAAAAAGCTTGAAGTTGTCAAAATGGAAATAATTATTTTTGAAGATGATCCTTAAGAACCTTAGTGCATGCCAAATTATTGCCTGTAACAATTATATGCACTTGTACATGTCATTGCATTTTGAATTGTTGCATTCAATAATTTTTGAACAAGCATAATGTGGTGGGAGAAGAACTTCCTGAAGTCATACCACTATTTGCTTATTTTTTTTTATTTCAGTTAGCAAAAGATCTTCTACACCCTTCACCAATTGAGGAGAAGCGGAAATGCAAGCTCAAGCGGCTTGTACAGCATCCGAACTCCTATTTCATGGATGTCAAGTGCCCAGGTGAGTTAAGAGGATTTTACTTGTATGCAAATTTTTTCCTGAACATTGGAAGATATACTGTATAGTGGAACCTTGGTTCATGAATTTTAAATTTTTTTTACTTTTTTTCTGCCTCGTAAAATTTTACTTTTTGGAACAACCGTGGACAGAGAGAAAACTAGATAGTTGTCTTAAGGGACCAATAGATTGTTTTTTAAAAGTTGTTCAATGTCAACCAATATTTTTTGACTAGTTGTATATGAAAAGGGCCACAATTGTTCCAAGTTTCAGTACTGCAGCCTAAATAGAAAGGGAGATTTAATTTTTTTGCTGTTTTTCAACGAATATTACACATTTTCAAGTGTGTATATACAACCACACGTTTTAGATATAATCTTTCTATGACACTTTTCTGACACATTAGCATATAATAAAGAATCTGAGGCCCGGGATTACATATAAGGTGCAAGTTTCGTGTAAATTGAATAAAAAATGAGTTATATGAACGTTTGTTACTAGAAATAAATAAAATTACGATGCTCCCATCTGTGGCTGGGGTTGGCATCAACCAAGTTCCTCCAAAATTGGCACCCTTACAGATAGGCTTGCGTGCAATTAGGTGTATAAGTTTCATGCAAATCGTCCAATAAACAAATAAGAAAAATCAAATTGAAAAAAAAAAACTTTTTTTTTAACTTTATTTTTTAATAAAACTAATTATAAATTTTTTTAATATGCTGTTGTGATAGTCGAGTCAGACATGATTTCAGTTGACACTTGTTTGATAATTGTTTTTGACCATTTTGGAAAATTTTTGACACAATTCAATATTTTTTTCTCCCTTCCTATTTATGCTATGATGCTGAGACTTGGACCAGATGAAACCCTTTTCATATACAACTCTTCAGAAAAGTTAGATTGAAATTGAACAATTTTATAAAACCATTATTGGACCAACCCCAGCTCGAGTCTGGCTGGGCTTGTAGTAGAAGTACCCCATCAGGAATAAAGCAGGTTATTGGTCGAGTGTGTGGGTTCTGCTGGGCGAGGCACGCTCTTTACGTTCACGTTTACCAGTGTATCCTGCGCTTGAATTCTTTTTGAAGAATTTAATTGTTTTCCAACTTTTTTGATTTCTGAACATTATATATCATGTTATATATCATGCTATGCTATATAATATAGCTTATATATAAGTTATATATCATGCTATGGGTCCCAAGAGTCATTGGTAAGGTTCAACCTAAGAAAACAGTTGCGTAGAGGCATTACATGCATGTCCCTTCCTCATTAAGAAAATGTGTGTAGTATGGGAAGAATTGTAAAGTTTTGCTGAAAAGACTCGCCCAGATAAAGTAAACTCCTTGTTGTGTTAACCTTTTTAATGACAATGTGATGTCTCATTACAGACAAGTGTTAAAACCTAAAGAAAAACTTAAGTGTCTGTCGACAGGTTCTTAGTAAGACGAACAAGCAGTGAGCCACAACCAGGTCCTAGTGGTATGCCTGCAAAACATAAATACACCCCAGAAATGTCATCACTGCCTCTGTCATAATGGAAGGGGACCCTTCCAAACCCTTCAATTTATATTGTTTCTTATGGGAAAATTTTTGGTGTAAGAATCATAGAACAGTCTCGTGGAATGGATGAAATTCATAAACCCAGGTGCCACTGTATATTTATTTGTACTGTATAGTTTTCAAACTTTCATAGCATTGGTGAGAGGCTAGTGATAACCAAACCACACAGCAGAAAATGGAGAAATGATGTTTTGGTCTGTCCTGGACTATACAATACAGTAGTGTAATAGAAGAGAGGTAGGTACAGGACAGGCAAATATTAGGTAAGAGAGTAAGAGGAGAGGTGAGGAGCACGTATGAATAGGATGAATGTAACAATAAGTATAGGATGAATGCAAGAGTACGAGGAAAGATAGGAATAACCAACAGGCAAAGTTTGTCAGATCACATTTGTTTAGAAGGTTAGAGCATTTAACTCTTGGGCAGCGGCTATTGAAAAAATGGCAATACCCACCTATATGCAAAAAAATATATATATATATAAGTGAAGGGGTAGTGTTAGTCTCAATAAAGAATTTCAACTAGTCATGCTGCTGTAAGCTACACCAATTTTATTTTGCGCAACTCTTGTGTAAATGTAATCTCATACGTACCAATATCTACAGTATTTTGAATTACGAGGTCTTTAGTAACATACCTTGACACAAGTACGTGCTAATGAACAAATCCACAAGGGCTTGTGGATTTGTTCATTTGATGCATCACATTAGTGTGATCTCTATGTGTAAGTATGTGCTGTTCTTGGGAATGGAATGGGATTGCTAGTCATTTTATATACTGTATATAAAATTCTCTTTGCAGGATGTTTTAAGATTTCTACAGTGTTTTCACATGCCCAGACGGTAGTTGCATGTGTTGGCTGCGCAACAGTTCTATGCCAACCAACAGGAGGAAAAGCTAAGCTTACAGATGGTAAGTTTGCATAAATATTTTCAAGCTACAATAATAATGAATTACTCCTTCATTGTTCGATTCAAATTCTAGTATAATACAAGTACACAATAATCCCCGGAACTCAGTTCCTGCGACGGCGCTGGAACCAATGGTATTGGTGTATGCCTTTCCATTGGAGACTTTCAGTGCTGTGGAGAGGGGGGACCTGCTGCCTGGGTAACAGCTTCTCCCCAAATCAACCTACTCTGGCTGTGCGCCCTGGTGAGGCCATTAATATCTGGGAGAGTATAGGTGTCATCTCTAGTATCTAAATGAGAGGATTATTATGAATTGGAGATTTAAAAACGTTTTTTGAGAGTACTGGAAAAAATTGGTAATTTCCTATAAATACAAATTACCATTCAAAAACTTTTCTTCTGCTTCATTTAAACCCAAGGTATGAGGTAAAAGGTATAATGAATTAACACATTTTTATGTGTATAGCTTGTTAATATTATTTGTAGTAAAATATGTGCATACATGTAGACCCAACCCTAGAAATGTTGCTTGTGTTGGGGGGATAATGTATGCTAGATTAATTGGAATTTTTGTGATTTTACTCGCATTATATTTTGAGTAAAAACAGGGAATTCCAGACATTTAATATGCTCTTAATTTCCTATTAGGTATTCCTGGCAGGGATGATGTCTTATATAACCTGGTTATAGGAGATGCTTTTTGCAATGTCTAGTGGTTTTTCTTATGTATGATCATGAAATTGCACCTAGCCTTACTTTTGATAGTGCATTGTAGTGTAAATAAGTTTGTTTAAGGCCACCTTAGTGGGTTATTAATGAAATTCCAGCCATATCTAATCATATGTTTTAACACAAAGCTATTAAGTTATCATGATGTGGCAAGAAGTTACATACACAGAAATTTAAGCAATGTTTGTTTTGGTACAATAAACTATAGCATGAAATTTGTCATTGTACGCTTAATAGTTTAGATATAAGTTTGTACTTTTCTCCAAATTGATATTGAAATTAATAATTGTAGAAACCATCTCCCCCTTAAATTTAAAACAGCTAATATGACATGGTAGAAAAAGTAATAAAAACAGGAGATACAAAGGACCAGCAAAGTAGAGAGACCATGCCCCTGTAGTCACTTGTCAAGTTCCTTCACTGCCACCTGTGTTTTGTCCATAGCTCTTTGTGCCTTGCAACTCTGTATCTGGGTGTAGTTAAACAAAAAATTGTAACTCATCACATTTGAGGGCTTTCATAAGGTATACCCATTTCCTTTGGTATTTTGTACATATTGATCATAACTGTCTTTTCTCCAGCGCAATTTCCTCATATTTTAGTCTTCTTAACTGTTACTGGTCTTGATGCAAACTTATATTTTTTTTTAAAAGTCCTCATTTGTTTTTATATGCTGTTCCTATGTTGGCAGCTACCCTTATGCTTACATGGTTCTAACGGCAGCGTGGCCTTTAGCCAGCATTTCCTGGCAATTGCCTGATATGTGATGTTGGCCATTGTAGTCTGTCCCACAGCCATCATAGCCAGGCTGATCCAGTAACTCCAGCTACAGAAACTTGTCCAGTTCTCTTGGCAGCTTCCTCTGTTGTTCCTGTGACATTTTGTATCTTGGTTGGCAGGAAATTGAAGTTGATCATTGGATTACACTGTTCTCTAATTGTTCTTATGGCACCCTGATTTTTCATTAGGTTTATTTTGCCCTTCCCATCATCTCACTGTAGTATGTCGGAATTTTGTGCTGGTTTGGAACCTGACCTTCCAGTATCTTCTCTGAACAATGTTCTATGAACATGTTGTTCAGATCTCATACACTGTCCATGGAGGACAGAAGAAAATGAATATATGCTGTTTAGCATTTTGAAATGTATGGCCATGTCAACTCCCAAAATAATTGGTTACTGTACTACACTTATTCTTTATCCCACCGCTCCCCATTCTTACCCTTCCTATAATATTCCCTCCCACCGCCAGTCCTTCCCTTCATTTTCTCCTTCCTCGTAACCCTTCCTTTTTCCCCTTTCTTGCCCCCTATCTTACCCCTTCCCATAGTATTCCTCCCCCCTGTCTTACCCCTTCATAGTCTTCCACCCCCCTTCCTCTCCCCCTCCTCCCCCTTCCCATAGTATTCCCTCCCGCTGCCAGTCCTTCCCTTCACTAGTGGTGCTGTGTTAAGAGCTGCTGCTGCTGCAAGTGCCACCTTGGTTGATCTGGTAGTACAGAGGCTCTGACAGCCAGGAGGTATGCAGATTGTTTTTCTTTTAAAGGTGGTTCCTTTTAGTCCTGAGGCACAGGATGCGAGCCCCGTATACCTGCGGGAGCTTTGAATTGTTCACTATTCTGTACATAAAAACACCTAAAGGCACTATGTGCATGGGTTAGTGCTAGTCCTTGGTGTATACCACCACTTACCAGCAAGATCCAATATTTAAACAGGTTTTCAACACTTGTGCGGTAATGACACAGTATGGCATAAAAAATTTAGATGAATGTGTGGGAATGACGCAGTATGGAGTAAAAAAAATTCTTCCATATCGTTCACTCCTGTATGTTATTTTATTGTGTAGATTTGGGACCTGGCCCTCCAGTATCTTCCACGTGTATATTATTCGATGTCTCATCTTTCTAGCGAGTACATTTGGAGAGATTTGAGACGGTCCCAATAATTGGTGGTGCTTTATTGTGTCTACGTTTGCCGTATATGTTCTGTATTCCCTCTATTTCCGCAATCTATACCAAGTGCCTGTGCTACTGGCACCTTGCATTTCTTTATAAATATTGAATTCCATTAATCTGGACCCGGAGCTATGGTTGTTTTCAATTTCTCCTTCAAAATCTAGTACACTTGTGTTGATATCGGTTATATTTACAGGGGTTTGGATATCACTCAAAAAGAAATTGTCTAGATCTTCCACTTTCTTGTTGTTTATTGGATTCCTCATACTGCCTTTTTTAGGATTTCACTAATTTCTTTGTCATCCTCCGTGTATGAACCTTCACTTGTATGAATAGGTCCAATACTGGCAGTGGTTTTTGCTTTTGCATATGTGAAGTATTTTGGATTTTTCTTTTTCTGAATTGCATTCTGTTCTAACTGTCTTTCTTTAGTCTGTTATGAGTTTCAATTTCCGCTCGATTTCTTCAATCTCCCTATTTAAATTATTCCTTCTTTGCCGGGAAAGTCGTGTCTGCTTAAGCATTTCCGCTATTTTTTCCTTCTTTTATAGTGTCGTCTGTGTTCTCTTTCTACTTTGGACCAATTTCTGGCTTTCCTAAAAGGAACATATTTCAGACGGACTTCATATGCTTCCGAAGTCAGTTTTTCTATTCCTTCTGTAGGACTTTTATTACCTAGAATAGTTTCCCATGGAATGTTTGTAAGTTCCCTGTTTATTTTCTCCCAGTCTATCCTATTATTAAAATTTAATTTACTGAATAATTTATAATTATTCAGTAAAATTTATAATTTACTGATTATGTATTCATTGTTTGTGAAGACCAGATCTAGAATATTTTTATTTCTGGTTGGTTCTGATATCTGCTGGTTGAGTGAAAATTTGTCACAGAATCTAAGCAGTTCTCTAATCTGTGGTTATGTCCCGATAGATTTCTTGGCATGATATTATTTGCTATTCTCCATCTTAGACTTGGCAAGTTGAAGTCACCTAGGAAGATATCAGGTATCGGGTTCTCCAAATTATCAAGGCTATTCTCTATTTTGTTTATCTGTTCTACGATTCCTCAGCCGTTGCATCTGGCAGTTTGTATATTTAAATAATAACTTAAGTTTACTTTCTCTGATTTTTACTCCCAGTTCCTCTTATCACCTCATTTGTAACATTAAGGAGCTCTGAGCATACAAGGTCTTCTCTAATATACAAACCCACTTCTCCATGTGACTTAATTACCCTATCACACCTGTATAGATTATATCATGGTATCCAGACCTCACTGTCCAACAATTCCCCTGCATGGGTGTCTGTGAAAGCTCCAAATACTGCATTTCACTCGGCTAGGAGGCCATTTATAAATTGTACTTTGTTCTTGTTTTTAGTCCTTGTATGTTGGCAAAGGTGAATGAGGTTACTCTAATAGGGATAGTTTGACTGGGAAACTTTTGGCAAGCCCATTATGCGTAGACATACTTTGTTCTGACCAGAACCTAACCTATGCTTAACTATACATAATATACACACACAATCACAATAGTGTGATATATTGAATGAACAAATCCACAAGGGCCGTGATGAGGGGGGGGGGTTGAACCTACGTCCAGGATGATCCCAGGTGCGCCTTAGTCGACTGCGCCACGACATGGTAAAATAATTGCAACCTGGAGTGCTACTTGCCCTCACGAGGCTCCCGCAGCTTCTCTGAAGCAAAAACCGGGGTTTTACACAATTTCCCCATGCACCTGGCCTGTCAACAAATTGTTCTACCTCTTCGTTCTTACTTCAGTACACACAGAAATCACAATAGCGTGATATATCAAATGAACAAATCCTCAAGGGACGTGATAAAACCCTACTTTGTTTGTGCTTAAGCTACGGGAGCCTTGTGAGGGCAAGTAGAACTCCAGGTTGCAATTCTTTTACCATGCCATGGTACAGTCGACTAAGGAGTGTCTGGGATCATCCCGGACAAAGTCTTATTAACTGATGTTTGTTGAACTAGACTTTCCACCTCAAATGTTGAAGGCTAAAGTTTTCCTTGGTGAATATTCAGTACTGGATTTTCTATGTAGTTCTCAATATTTCTTATCCATTTAATTAATTTTTCAGCTATTGCATTTGGAAATTTCTATATAAATACTAGGTTTTCATTCAACTTTGGGTACCTAAGGTTTCCACATCATTTGACCGTAACAATTATGTGCAGCCTAGTGTTTACCATCTAGACCTACTCCTCCATGCATTTTAATGTGCTCAGTTTGACTTTATATATTAAAGCTGTATTTAAGAAAATCTCTTGTATTTTACAAAAGATTTTTTAACGTTTTTCGTTTGTAAACTAAAAGTGTAAACGTTTTTCCTGTAAACTTCCTTTAATTTTGTTTAATGTACATTGTAGTAGCTGTTAAAACGAACTTTTGTTCATTATATAATTCTTATACTATAGTGATTCATTTTCTTTTCAGGATGCTCGTTCAGGAGGAAGCAGAATTAATGGTGTGAGAAATTCCCCTCCCAGTGCTGCCTTTTTTCCTTGTCATTATGTACTGAGACAGCAATAAAGGTGTCATTGAGAGGCGCTCTTACTTTATATCCTCATTGTTAACTGTATTAAATGTGTTAAAAGCATTTATTAATTTAAGAGGCTTTCCAACAAAATTTGTTGCTATATGGTCAGCAAATTTTCAAGTTTATCTCAGAAAAAGAGCTGTTCATTATTATTTTGATGTACTGAATTCAAATATAATTAAAATTGTTAATTAGCTATTTTGTGTGTAAGGTTGGTAATAGTCTTGCTTGATTCAACAAATAGATGAACGGTTTTCTTCCAGGTGCCAATTTTAGTCAAAACTAGACCTTAAATTTTTCAAGCATTTCTGTTTTCAATGACCAAGAATGTCGTGTTGTCATTTGTTTCTAAAACATTTTGGCTGTAGACCAGTGTAATTTAGTGGTCCAGACGAAGAATATGCCATATAACAATCTTGTATTTTTTATTTATATATATATACAAATTATTTCTACAGCCAGTAGCACGCAGTGTTTAAGGCAGGTCCTTAATCTAATACGACCTCGCCAAATCGTTTAACTAAGTATCCGTCTTACTGTTGGGTAAACAGGCTTCAGTTAAGGATAGTCTCTTACTTCAAGCAGTTCTCTCCTTTTATGCATTACACTGGACCTTTAAGTCTGTAAAATACTGAATTTGGAGAATAAGATCAGACCTGTTAGTCGTGTAGCTTTCAAGCTTACGAACTTTTGTCAACTAATTTAGATTTAGACTTTTTTTCCCCATTCTTTGATTACAGAAGTTCAGATGGATGCATCAGGAAATGACAGTTTAAATACCTGAATTTAAGAATAAAGTTAAATTTCATTGTCCTACTGCCTCATTTATCTGAGATTTGAATTTTAAATGGATGGACAAACCCAAAATTAAGTGGCAGATGCGTCTGACAGTTTTCTTCCAAAGAGATCAACGGTACTGTTAGTTTAGTGTAGGAGCTAAAAACTACGTTGTCAGCAGCATCAGCTGGAAAACTTGTAGCTCAAGAGACTAGTGGAACAAGGGATCTTTGACAGAAAAAACAAAAGTTGCTGGGATTAATGGAGTCTGCCATAAGGGAACAACGTAGATTAGCGGAAGTGTTCACGAAACTATTTCCTCGTTCAGGTGACAGCCAAAGCATCCGAGAAGCTCTGAGGGCTTCTTGGAATGTGGGTCACTGCCCTTCAGTAGGTGGCGACAAACAAAAGTCAGTGAGGTTTCAGTATGCAATTCACGAAGCTGACGTTAATCTTGTTGGCAGGCCATTTGTGGCCGACACTAGCATCTTTGCTATTTTTAATTAAAGTAGAAATTCACCTTCAACCAAATAAAAAGGAGATCCATTACCAAAGCAAAAGTTTTGGTTTACAATTAAAATCTGTAGATGGAACTAGCCTAACACTGAACATAAGTGCATCACCGTCTTTTATTCCAAATTGTAATAACAATTTCACTGGAAACTTCGGAGGGATGTACTTTTGTTAGTTTAACGTCTTGATAGAATTTCATGCAAACCTTTCTCTCCCGTCCTTCCCCCCACTATTACCTTCCTAAAACTAGAAATTGAATTCAATCTCCCATCTATAAATATGAATTTATGATGTATTCAAGAAAATTAATAGTGTAGAGATTTATTACTCTACTATACCGGGTCGCAATATAGAATGCAGTTCTGTGGAAAGAAATATAGACAACTAAGGAAGTAATTTAGTTGCGTTGCTAGTTGTCCCGTTAGAATGGGTTCGAATATACAACCCGTCCTCAGACCAAGTTCATTCCATCCAGCGGTCAACACCAAAGACTCAAATTTTAACATTCTGTTCATTCAAAACAAGAATTCTCAAATATAAATTATTTTATATTACAATATTGTACATATTTGGGCATTGGTTTGTTTCTGTTGGCAATTATTTGTATTTTTGGTACACGCGTGACGTATTTACAGCGTTGTGGTTTGAACAAAAGTCATCAGTGAAGCAGTTGTTCAGGAAGTGTTCGGACGTAATCAGTTGCGAGTCTTTGTAAACCGGTCTTTCATTTATAAACGGGCTTTGGCGTGTGCATAGAATGAACTTTGGATCTTTGTTTGAAAGATGGGCTAGAATATAAGAGTCCTGTAATATGTATTTTAGTACGCTGGAGAGTCGAGCCGTTGTTCAAGTTTCTTCCAGATACTAACTCTGCCAAACAAACAGAACTCAGGATAAGTCATTCATCGTGGATACCTAGCGAGGTCACTAGAAGCGAGGCCCAAAACAGTGCCACAACCAAGTTTTACAAGTAATCCACTTATACTAGTCTGTATATATGTACATATAGTTTTCTTAACCGACGAGTTAAGGATGTATTCATTTTTCCCCAAACAAAAATTACCCTAACGACACTACGTCCTTAGTGGCAAGTTGTGTAGACACTAAGCATTAAGAGACCTCCTGGTTAATGTATTCAAGAAAATTATGTGCTAGTTTAAATTTTAATATTTTACAACTTCATCATTCGGTAAACCAGGCATTTTCTGCCAAAAAAATATATCAAAGGCTGGCCTCGCAGATGACAATTTACGTGGTAACAGGCAATATTGTGCCACTTTATGCCGTCGTGAGTGTTGTGGGAACCACCAGCCGGGTCGAACGTTCCCCTGGTCTCCCTGCTGGTGTTTACATTGGACGCTTGTTGGTTGCCCTGACGGGTGGTTGTATGCCACTGCGGGGTGTCTGTTTTTCAGTCTCAGTATGGGGACTTACGTGCCGCCACTGAGGAAGAAGGACTCGGATTGGCTGACGTTAACTTTCGGGTGGATATTGGCGTCGTCAGCAACACATTGTTTGCAGTTATGGGCGTGAAAGTGGAAGATCTCGTAGGTCTACAAGTCGTTCGCGAGGACAGAGTGGTCGTGAAGTTCGCCAAGAGTGGCTTCTACCAGAGGTTTCTCGACCAGTATGAGGACAAGGAGGTGGGGCTGAGCAACGGTCTCGGCTTTGTAACTGACGAATTTGAGTGTGGAGTACACATACGTGTCTATTAAGAATGCGCCGTTTGAAATGTCTGAGGATCTTCTCCGTCGGGCTCTTGCCAGGTATGGGCGTGTGGACTCTACTCGTCTGTAGATACACAACCGGGGACGTCAAGGGACTCGGTAATGGCTACAGAACGGCTAGGATGGTTCTTCGTGGGAATGTGCCTTCTTCTCTCACGCTTGCTGGCTTTACGGTCTGCTTCTCCTACCGTGGGCAGACTCGGACGTGTTACAACTGTGGCCACGTTGGGTAATTATTATTTACATAATTATTACTGCTGCCTGCGACACTCTGATGTATGATCGGATTAATGTGTTCCATGAAGCTGTCTCCATCCCTGAAACTTCAGGGATGGAGACTGTAGAAACAAAAAAAAAAAAAAAAAAAAAATACGCATGCACGCACAGTCATCAACAAACACCAACACGGCAACCCGTTCTCGCACTTGCTTCAGTCAATATTGGCTTATTAAATAAGTGCATATGTGACATACTAATTGCTTGTGAATATTTTAGTTTTCCTTGAAAAGCTTCATAGAAAACACCGACCTCACCTAACCTTCTTAGTATGTTAATAAGATAAGCATCTTATTGCTTCTTATTTACAATTATTACTTAACCTATCAACGGTATAGGTTTATAGGTATTTACAATTATTACTTAATCTATCAACGGTATAGGTTAAGTAATAATTGTAAATAAGAAGCAATAAGATGCTTATGTTAACATACTAAGAAGGTTAGGTGAGGTCGGTGTTTTATATGAAGCTTTTCAAGGCAAACTAAAATATTCACAATCAATTAGTATGTCACATATGCACTTATTAAATAAGCCAATATTGACTGTAAGCAAGTGCGAGAACGGGTTGCAAGGGGGACACAGGTGGAAACTGAGTACCCAAATGAGCCACAGGGACGTTAGAAAGAACTTTTTCAGTGTCAGTAGTTAACAGGTGGAATGCACTAGGTAGTGATGTGGTGGAGGCTGACTCCATACACAGTTTCAAGTGTAGATATGAGCCCAGTAGGCTCAGGAACCTGTACACCAGTTGATTGACGGTTGAGAGGCGGGACCAAAGAGCCAGAGCTCAACCCCCGCAAGCACAACTGGGTGAGTACACATCAGAGCCTTCTGCATTATAAAAGATTCAGAGGTATGTGTCACGACCCTTGAGACTAAATAATGTTCTTCTCCCCACAGTGTAAAGAACAAATAAAAATCTGCCATGCCAATAGGTGTCTAGGGGTATAATTAATCACTGTATAAAAACGGGAGAACAATATATTTTGCCAAGGGTGACAACTTAACAACCATTAAATAAATAGTAGCAAGAAATATTTATCAGCATGTAATACTATAGAATGCGAGTAATTATTTGAGACCTGAGCACTATCACCAGAATATGGAGTAAGCCATAAATACACTAAAATCGTCTATCCAGATAAATTAATATTTATATGGGCTTAAAATAACAAAAACCAAGAACTTAGCTTAAACACAACTGCACTCGACCGCAGCTGCCACTCTACTGCCCAGGACGTGGTCCGCAGGCCCAACGTCGACTAACCGTCTACCCAAACACCAATTAACGTTCGCATGAACATTGTGAACATTCTATTTACAAAGGTCAGCCCTAAACTCCAACATTATTAACTAAGAGTTGTAATTACTGGATTCACATTCCTTGAAATATTACGGCTACCAAATATGGGAATAAATAAATATAAAACTATAGGCAATTGATTTGCCAACAATCGCCCTGGCCATTCCCAAATATTGTCAACCGCCCACACGGCTAATTTCACGTGACATCCACCACCAAAACAACCTTACACACACTACCCAGCTATCTATGTTATATATATATATATATATATATGTCGTACCTAATAGCCAGAACACACTTCTCAGCCTACTATTCAAGACCCGATTTGCCTAATAAGCCAAGTTTTCATGAAATAATGTTTTTTCGTCTACCTAACCTACCTAACCTAACCTAACCTAGCTTTTT